CCCTTTTTTTGCGCTTCGATGCGTCCGCTTAATTATTGAGTCGTTGAGAGAACGGGGATATATTAACAACAAGCATAAAAAAAAAAGAAAACTGTTTGCGCGAGCGTTTTACAAAGTATTTTGACTTTGCTCCGTTCACGCGCTGTGCGGCGTTCCATTGGTAACACGCTAAAAAAATCGTGTCTCTTCAATTTTTTTTTTTTTTTTAGTTTTACAATATTTTTGTTTAAGGCCGCTCCGTTTTACATTAAGTCCTCCCTCAGTCGACGCTATAGGATCGGATAGAGCCAATTCAGCAGCACCAAAAAGTGCATCGTCACTGCGCTCGTTGTTTTTGTGTGTTGTAATACGTTATCTAATATTCACACATGTTACAACACGGATCATGAGCGATTCTTCCGTAGATTTGCGAATAGTATACGGAATGGTATACGGAATCGAACTGGAATATTATTTTATGAAGGGTTCACGACGCAACGCAGATCAGTATGGATTTTCTTTTGTCGCGAAAGCGGGAAGTCAATAAAATATTTCTAAAGAACCGGCATTTTTGCAACTTCTGATCCCTCAACATAAATCCCAGTTTAGGAATCCCTCTTTCACAAAATCATAAAAAAAAAAACTAAAAACACTTTTAGTATCAGAAATAATTTTTTAGGTAGATGTTCATAGATGCCATAGATGTTCGCTCGAGACTCAGGCGGCAGTTTCTTATGGGCGTAGCATATCCAGTAAGTTATTTCACAATACGACAAAGGCCATAACATCGAATGGAATTGCATCTTATTAAGATACGCGGAAATTATTGAAATTAATTAATTCCAGAAATAATGCTGTCTCTGGTTCCTTATCTTAAAACTTAAAACAAAACTGACTTTCTGGGCGCGTCTCGTATGAGCCTGCCTTTCCCTGCAACACCCAGAAACTGAAAGAAAAAAAAATGCTAATGGCACATACTTTGTCGACACGGGTGTGCGTTTATACATGGCCAAAATCTTAACGCCGCTAAGTTGGTTATGTGTCTTTCTAGCCAGGAGAGCACGTGGGTACCATGACGACCTAAAAGCCGCATAGCTTTCCCTTGAAGACATAGCATCATAACAGTCCCCAATCCTGCCTGTTTCTCTAAAAAACAAACAAAAAAATCGGTGGTGCGAAATATGTTTTGCAAAAACCACGCGCTCATGCAGCAAGGACACCCCGATGGCAGCCGATGTAACGTCACTGCAAGCCTCGGGCCTTTATTGGTTATCATACGTCGGATGTCGCAATCGGAGTCTTGGCGCGGATCAGTCGGTTAAATATAATTTTTTTTAAATATATTTTTATTTGCGGGAGAGCACGTGGGTGCCCCAACGACCGCAATTACTTAGACGCGAGAAGTTGTGACACTCTCAGCTGGCTCCCATTGTGCTCAACTCACGAGTTCCGTTGGCAATTCTGTCCGGCGAATCGCATGATTGCCTCTCGCGAAGCATTCAAAGACCACAAACGTCGACTTTATAAAAGGAGCCCTAAACGGCGCCCGCGTCGTTCACTCTTGCTCGTCTTGAAACGTGCGGCTCTAACGACAAGCGGAAGCCCCCCCAACAAGAGGCGGGGGGGAGGGGGACGAGGAAGGCAGATGATGTTGTTAATCCGTGGATCTGAGTGACGCCGAAAAGGGCTCGTTCAGGGTCCCCTTCTATCACTTGGCAAAAAGGGCTTCGCCATATGCCGTGAGCAACAACTCGATTAGACGTGTAACCTTATGGCTCGTGCGGTGCCCGCTCCTTGAGAGTCGGTCGCTTTCGGCGCGAGAGAAAATAGCGTCCTGCCACGAAAAGGGAAGTCCAGTCCATTAGCGGCACGGAACTGTACAAGCGCGTTCGCCCTGAACCGTCGCCTTGAACGCCGTTCGCTCATACACCCCATGGTCCGCACGACAAGATAAAGAAACTCTCAGGCTTTCGCGTAAGCTACGAGGCGGCAGAGGAGAGCTGATCGTTAATGAAGTTTTCTTTTGCGCTTTTTTTCTGTAGCTAATGGCTCATCGTGTCTGTATGTGGGGGGCTTGTGTTTACAAACATGCGCGGCGGCTCTGTACAGCGCTCCAGCGCTTACCTCCTGATTGCAAAATGCCGAGTCACTAAGCTCTGGGCAGCGTTGTCAGCTTTTTTTTTTTTCTTTTTTTAGCGTTGCCCAGTGTTTTCTAGATACGTCGTCCACGTTCTCTAATACCTTAGCCCAAACATATCTAAAACTTTTCTAAGGACATCGATCATATTCTGTAGCTCACATTTCTTTAAAGTCACTCGAAGAACGTCGCCCACAATTAAAAACGTAGCCAAGAGTTCTTTATAACTGTACCCATACAAAAAAAAATGAAAGGAGTTTTAAGTGAAAAGATTAAGGATTCTCTTGAGTCTCAATTGAAACTCAATAGATTGTTTTTCTTTTGAGTCTTATTGAATCTTCACAGGGTATTGGCCACTGTGTTTGATTGAATTTTTAGCAATTGCATTTGAATAAAGTTTTGGCAATAGTGTTTTAATTAAATTTTTGCAATCGAGTTTCAATGGAAATTGTTGCAACAGCGTTTAAAAAACATCCTGCAACGTGTGGAGAATTTCTTAAAGCGTGGAGCATAGAGGAAACGAAGCACATTAGGGAAACGAACACAAACATTATAAAGCACTCAAAACACACTAATCACACTCCCCTTGACTACTCCCCTGCCTTATGTACCCTACATATGAAAGGTATTCATTCGGATTCGGCCGGTGGCCACCTCAGCATTTATTAAGGTTCCCAATATGCTATCCCCTCCTCGGAAGTCTTATAAATGATAAACAGTGTTTCGACGTCATCCGACCCTATCCCTTAGTAAAAACAAAACAAAACTACTTGGGTAAAAGAAATAATCGTTTGGTGCAGTTGGTAAATTTACAGTCGTTTGCACATCTAATGAGTAAATTAAAATGAATGAATACTGAGTTCTAAAAGAGCAAACTCAATTGCATTCTTAATGATTTCATTCTAAAAATATAGATTGAGTTCATAATGGGCAAACTCAATCGCATTCTTGGTGGGTTAATTTAAAAGAATATATATTGCATTCTTATGACCAAACTCAATTGCATTCGTGATGAGCACATTTGATAAAATCGATATTGAGTTTCTTATGACCGAACTCAATTGCATTCCTATGGAGTAAGGTCAGAAGAGTATATATTGAGTTCTTAATAACCATACTCAATTGAATTCTTAGTGATTAAATTCAATAAAATCGACATTGAGTTCCCTATCACTAAACTTAATTGCATTCCTACTGAGTAAATTCAACAAAATCGATAATGAGTTTCTTATTTCGAACTCATTAAACGTTGAGTTTATATTGAGTTTCAATTGACCCTAAAGGAATACGTTAAAAACTCAATTGAACCTCATTTATCAACTTTGAAAGGGTAATCCACTGCTTCTTTTTAAACATAGGCCACAGTTCTCTATAACCGTGCCCATATATCTCGTCTACCCACTGACAAATCGTCCTCAGTTCTCTAAAAACGACCGACAAGTTTTCCAAAATGTAGCTCGGTGTTCTTTAAAAGTGTTGCCCCAAAACTTTGCCCAGAGTATCATTTATGCGTACATCGCTCAAAGCTTCTTAAAACAAAGGACACATTAAAAGAAAAAAGAAACATGCCAAATTTGTTTAGAGTCCGTTTCCCACAGTTCTCTAAAACATATCCCACATATCTCAAGAACCGCTCTGAGAACTTCGCCCACAATCCATAGCCAACAGTTCGCTAACAACGTAGCACATTTCTCTAAAACCGCTAAGAACTTCGCCCGCAGTGCGTGTCCTGCAGTTTTCTAAAACGTAAAACATTTATCTTTAAAGCCCCTATAAGAATGTCGCTTACAGTTGGTAGCCAACAGTTATCTACAAACGTGGCACATTTCACTAAAACCCCTTTAAAAAAGTCGCCCACAGTGCGTGGTTTCAGAGATGTGTGCTACCCACATCTCTGAAACCTTTCCAAAAACGTCGCCCACATTTCGTGGTCCGTAGTTCTATAAAACGTAGCACACATTTCTGAAACCCCTCTGAGAACGTCGCCAACAGTCCGTAACCCACAGTTTTTTAAAACGTGGCACTTTTCTCTAAAATGTATTTAAGAAAGTCGCCAACAGTGCGAGATTTACAGTTTTCTAAAAAAGGTGGCCCACAGTTTGTGGCCCACAGTTTTCTAAAAACGTAGCCCAAATTTGTCTGAAAACCACTCTAAAAAAATTGCCCTCAGTAAAAAACAAAAAAAAAAAACCAAAAGTTTTTTAAAATTGTAGCGCTCGTTGTTCTTCCAAAATGTCGTCTAAAACGTTGCCCAGAGTTTCTTTATACATCACTCAAAGGTTCATGAAACCAAAGTCACATTTATATAAAAGAAACACATTACAAAAGTCACCCACAGTCCGTTTCCCACAGCTCTCTCAAACATAGCCCACATTTCTCAAGAATCCATTTAAGAACTTCGTCCGCAGTTCACAGCCATCAGTTCTCGAAAAATACGTAGCACGTACATTTCTCTAAAGCCCAATAAGAACTTCGTTTGCAGAGTTCTCTAAACGTAGCACATGCCGCTAAAACAACTCTAAGAACGTTGCCCACAGTTCGGAGCATACGGTTCTTTACAAACGTGGGACATTTCTCTAAAACCCTTCCAAGAACCTTGACCACAGTGCGTGGTTCGCAGTTCTTTAAAACGATAGCACATACCACTAAAACAGGAGAGCGACTCGGGAGTGCTAACGGGGCTGATGGGTGAGTTTTAGCATTGCGATAAATGTATTTAGTGGCAACAGCAGCCACATGCACGACGAAATCGTACGACGCGTTGGAAAGGTGTCCGAATCCGACTTAAACTACGGCCTCTAAAACTAATCTCGGTGTGCAATTCTGTCTGGGACCATTTTGAATGGGACCATTTTGGCCATGACATTTGTGCCTCGCCTTGACCATGCCATACCAGAGTTAGTAGATTGGGCTATTAATAACCAAACTGGACTCTTTGTAGTCGGCGTCGAAATCTCGTGATAGGGTAATTTTTTTTTATTGTAATCGGCAGGGAGTGCCACCTAAATCAATGTTAGATTATAAAAACATAAAACAAGAGTATTTTTTTAAATATATACAAGGTATTATACTACCCTGTTTAAAAGACGACGAAAAAACAAGAACAGAGCTGTTCCAAGGATTCCGTTGAACCGGTAGAGCACGACCCCTTGAAGGCTTCTTTCTTTATCGAGAAGTGACTGTCAAATAATAGCGCAAATATGCGCTCTGGTAACTAGCGTTAAGTGGTTGCGCGCTCTCGTGTCGTGCGCTCTCGAGTAATACAGTCCTTTAAAACACTAAAATATACCGCCCATAATCCGTAACCTACAATTATCTATGGACGTAGCACATTTCCTTTTCACCATAAGAACGGTTTTCACGGTGTGTAGCCCACAGATTTTTTTTTAACGTAGCAATTTAATTTATCTAAAACCCCACTAAGAATGCCGATCACAGTTTTCTAAAACTTAGCACATATATCTAAAACCACTCTAAAAACGTCACCACAGTCCGTATCCTACAATTTTCTAAAACGTAGTATACATAAAAAAAATAGCCTAAGAATGTGGCTTACAGTGTGTGGCCCACGGTTTTCAAAACAGTAGCACATTTCTCTAAAGCCCCTCTAAGAATGTCACCAAGAGTGCGTGTTCCACAGTTCTCCAAAACGTACTATACATACCTCTAAAATCACTCTAAGAACGTCGCCTGTAGTTCGTAGCCTGGAAGCGCCAAGATTCATTGAAAGAAAGTTGCCCCCAATTTCTCTAAACACGTAGCCAACACCTTTCCTCAAAATCGTAGCACTCCGCTCAAGAAGAATTACGGCCTTATCATCATTCATTGAATCATCCTGTCTTCCTTCGCCGGCTGAACCCGACTCAACGGAATGTGACCTTTACGACGCGTTTCGCCGTGGAAAGTTTCGAAGGAGCGGTTTGGGTCAACCGCGCTCTGTTTTCACCCGACAAACTACCCGACCAAGAAAATAACAGTAACAACAGACACAATAAAGCCGCTGGAGACTCGGCGCGCAGGAGGAATAACAGACGCAACCCGCCGCGGCCGTCGCCATGACGGATGGATGGTGACCAGGTCTTTTCGATTCCAAGGCAAGTGGCCTGTTCAGGAGGTGAGCAACACCGTCTGAAGATCGTTATGCAAGCAAGCAACACGCGTTAGTTGCATTACCTGTCGACTCATGACGAAAGTAAGCCTTTGTGACCAGGCGCTTTCTCCACGGTCCTCCGGAAATCACGATCCACTACGCACCCCCGCCACAATCCTCCAAGCACCGCGACCAAGTAGCAAGCAAAAAAAAAACAAAAAAAAAAAACACAAAAAACGCAAACTAAAAAATGAAAAACACTATGGCAGCTGCCAATAAGCAAGCCATAACGGTTTTTCTTCCTCCCAAATCGCGCCAGCCGCTGTTTTTCTTTTTTACCCCGTAACAACTGGAAAGGCCACTTTTTTTTTTCCAGGAGTGGACGATGGAAAACGCTTTTTCTCCAAGCATTATCGTGAGTAACGGTCGGGTTTAAAATAAAATTAAAAAAACGACGTGTCATTATTTCAATTCATGGCGTACGTTGTGAAAAGAGCCTAGCAGCGATAAGTGCTCATGACTCGCCGCGTGAAAATTACAAGCAGTCTTGGGACAGGATGCTTCTACATAGAGAACCTATATGCCTCCATAGTTACATTATAATTTAGGCACAAAATCTAGATTTTGAGCGAAAAGCTTTATGCTCGTGTGTAACGAAAGCCGTTACACTTAGGCCAAGGCAACATAAATCATACATAGCACATAGTAGCAATTGAGATGCACACAAAAATGAAAAAAAAAAAAACACGAAGAGAAGCATGTTCAGTCATAATTAATCGCGTAATCATAATTTGTAAGATTGACCAAGCGGTGCAGGGGGTATAGAACTCTGGAACGTGCGGTTAGCGCCCCGGAACCTTTGCTTGGAGCCACGAGGTGGAGGCGGACGGTAGTGCAAGCAGCTGGACTAAGTATGACTCAAGAGAGCCTGCAGTGACAGGCGACGGTCGGCGCGTGTATAGCTGGCTTCCGAGTGGCAAAGCCTAGCTCCCCACGTGATCTCACGACCTACACGGGTCCTCAATCAATTTAAACTTGTATTGATCCTTCTGACAGCTCGGGGGTACACGAGCGTGTCGTGCGTGCAATATATTCGATGCCACCAAAAGCATTCCGTAATCAAGCATAAGAAATTATAACGCACGCATAACGCATACACGGCATATTCTGGCTTCTCCGGGATTATCTGAATGGTGAAGACAAGTTTAAATTTATTTTTCAAGACGTCCAGCCTTTTTTACAAGCGGTGGCCGATAAACGAATTGTGTAGGTCCTTAGAATCCTTTTAGCGAGTGTCCTGTAAAAAACAAGTGTCCTCTTCATCTAAATGCTTCTAAATGTTGCTCTTTTCCGTGTCCATTTTTTTGCTTGTTTTCGCGATTGTTTGGCGCATGCAAATGTCATCTGTATTTTTTTTACACACGTAAGAATAAACAAAAAGGGGGGAGCACAGAAATTGGCATTTTTCAGCTAGCCACAAGAATGAAACAAAATCGCCCTCTTCATAAGCGCTATGGACCAGCTAGCCTCACAACAAGTATGTAGGTTGGCATAAGCCTGTGTTGACAAGTTTTGACCGTTGTGAAGTTCTTCGGCAGAACGAACGAAAATCAGTCTTTGTTAGAATAAACGTCCAAACAAGGAACCTGCAACAAGCTTCAACCTATCGGTTAGTCAGAAATCAGCGCAAAATATCTTTTTTCCTCTTCAAAATTTGATTGTGTCACAATGAGAAGCTTTAACCCAGCAGCGTCGTTCATACATTTATTATTTTTATCCAGTATTCCACAAATCGCTCGGCGACTTTTCAAGGCGTACGTGTTGCCTCACTGAGTACTTTGTAAGGTTAGTTTCCCTGGTTGCTTTGGTAATGGGGCAGTTTTTGACCGTCTTATTTACTCGCCAGAAGATCATGGAGATACTATCCATTGAAAGTTTTGTAACAGTTTCTAGAAAGAAAGCAATGCTCGTGTTTACATGTTTGACGAAATTGCCTCAGAAATCAGTCTTTTAGTTAAAAAGAGTTACGACTTCAAAGTTTTCTATAAGTGCATTCTCACCGCTTACTTCGGCTAACTTGTTCAATATATCTATACACAGCATATAAATTTTTCTGTTTGACGTTGTCAATGCTAGCGTGGTTCTGAAAAAGTGCGAGAGCGTGGCTTCGTTCGGCGTCCCCTTTGCACGATCATGGCACGACAGTGTGTGCGAATGAGACTTCGAACGATGCCATATGCTTGCGCAACCTTGCGGGACTGAAACACTGTGAAAACTACACTGGCCTTGGCAGTGTTATCCCACAGAAAAGCCAACTTCGAGTATAATGCCCACGTTAGAAATTAGTATTCAAAGCACACACTGGAGCTCTAGAATGTAGGTATGTTCGTAATGTGTGATAAAAGAGCGGTGCGTGTTGATAACATTGATGCAGGACGAAAGAATGCACACACACAAGGAGACAAAATGATGACAGCCACAGTTCTTTCAATAGCAATAGAAAATTTATTGGTGCTCATTTGCGAGATCTCCTGAGAAGGTTTGTCAAATGTGGAAATGTTTCGGCGAATTTAGAGCGGTCCAATAGCGTTTTTGCTAGATGTTTTTTGTGCGGTGGATGCGAGCGCGCGCTTGCACGCCCAAAAAGATACTAACAAAAGAGAGCAACCAAGCATCTCTAAATTCACGAAGGAAATAGACCCGTTTCAAAATTTAGTCTGTAAACTTTGATTACTATCGTCTCAGAGTACGGTATCTGTGCCAAACAAACGGCGGTCTTTCAAACTGCTGATACGTTTGAAGGCGTCGGTACAACAGAACGCACGAATGAGGTACAAAAACCCTTCATTTCGGAAGCTGGTCCAATCAGTCTCTAGGCACAAGTTTAGCTCTAAAGCCTTTAATGGTGGAAATCTAGAAATTGTAAGGCAATAAGAACCAAATCTCATCTGCCATTGACATGCGAAACGGACGGTGCCCGTATACAGTTTCATGGCCACTCTAGATTGTCGATAACAAACTGCCTTTTAGCCACCAGATGGCACTGAATTTTGGAAAAGGGTCTATTCTCCATAGTAGGTTTTTCGCTAAATTACCCAAGCACCAAAAAGAATGCCGGGAAAGTATGTTCACGCGCTTCACGCGCTTCACGCGCTCGCCTTCCTATGGGTTCCCTCGTGCTCGCGCCACTTGAGCAGCTATATCAACGGCGGCGGCGATCACGGCCTTTACATCTACATAATTCACTTATTTTTAATAGCACCAAGAAGTTGATCCTGCATGTACTTACATCATTCGTTTCATAAGCTCGTATGCTGATAGAAGCGCGTACGTGTTGCGAGCTGGTAATGAATTCAATAGCACCCCCTTGAACACACCAAACCCGGATCCAATCGAATTCCCTCCACTGGGAGTGAACTGACCTTTCTTCTGTATGGAATCATTCGGGGGGAGTCACGTAAGAAACATCCCGCGCTTTCTTTTCACGTCACGTGACACGCGAGAATCAAGTCATCACTTCCTTCGGCGTTTCGCGGAACCCCCGACGATTACAGGCTTCACCGCCGCAACCTCTCCCGCGGGGCTCCACACTTTCGCGCGCCCTGGGCGTTATCGAGCGTGACATCACAGCCAAGCCATCCCGTGCCTCGAGCCACCGTTTTGACGGCGCCAAGACGTCGTCAGGGAAGCGCAACTTAACAGAAAACGCGAGGGTGACTTAACCCTGGGCCCTGGTATACCGAAAGTCCGCTTCTGCCGATCGGGAGCTCTCATCAAACGTTCGGTGCCGCGACGACTGCGAAGGACGCGCGAACAAAAAAGCACGCATACACATAAACACGTTGTAGTAGGAGGACATCCTTCAATCTTCTTCTCGGAAACCAGGAGGAACCTGCGACGGCCACAAAGGCGTTGTGTCTTGTATTGAATGGTGGAGTCCGTTAGGAGGATACGACGCCCGTTGAGAGAATGGTGATTTGACGGGCACCTTACGAGAAATAAAGCTGTGTTATTATCGACGACGCGAGTGAAGCATGGGCGTTTGCGGAGACAGTGATTGCCATCCGATGACGAAAAGGTAGCGCGTTTATTCGTGAGGCTGCACGCGACGACGGTTCGACACCGATATGAACTACGTTCCTGTTTAGATTTTCAGAAAAACATTGTACGTTGAGGCAAAGCCTTTGGCTTTGCCTCAACGTCCCGGTGTCGAAGCCCACAATCAAAGGGTGGAGAACCTTTGGCTTTGTCTCCACATTGCGGTGTCGAAGTCCCCTTTCCCCGCCGGTGCGATCACTTGTTGACTCCCCCAGCTTCTCCAGTGCCGAAGCCGACATTCCCAGCCAGTCTGGGGCTCTTTGAAACCCGTCACGTAAACATGCAGCGTCGAGGATGGCATGCTCCGCTTGCCTACCGGCGAACATCCGTTGAGGTTCGCATTACAGTACCGAACTGGGATTTTTTGTTAGAGAGGCGCTGTGGCGCTCGCCCGTGGACTTATATGAGCTTTTTTAAAAGGGTAAAAACAGCGCAAAAAGACTCGGACAGGGAAAATGTATACACGCGGAGTGGTGACTTTCAATTGTTTAATTTCTGAAAAAAGACGCCCACCGTCGTGCCCACATGCATCCATTTAAATTGCATCATGTACGTCACATCATATCAACAGACCATTGTGTCGAAAACTGCTGATGAACGCAAGTTCACAGTCAAATAAACAAATAGAGGGAGAGCTGACGCAACTATTTTTGTACTTAGAAACAAAAATTGCTTCCGGGATCTCTAGTCATCTTTTGGCGAAACTTAGCCAGAATTTCAGCATTGATTAGAACAGGAGTGCACCCGCACCTATCACATTGCACCACCAAGCTTCCTGACGGTGACGACCTCATCGAGAACGCATGTTCCCGCAATCTGTCGTTTACACAACGGCCTGTTTGACCGATGTATACCTTCTTACACGTTAGCGGAATACAATAAACCACTCCTCCCACACAAGGCGCAAACTTGTTCTTATGCAGCTT